ATCGAGCACACAGCCATGCAATCTCCATAGACAAACATTGCCAGTAGAATGGCCCGTACTGAAGAGCTCAGTGACTTTCAACGTTGCACTGTCATTGGATGCCACCTTTCCAACAAGTCAGTTTGTCAAATTTCTGCCCTGCCAGAGGTGCCCCCGGTCAACTGTAAGTGCTGTTATTGTGAAGTGGAAACATCTAGGAGCAACAATGGCTCAGCCGCGAAGTGATAGGCCACACAAGCTCACCGAACGTGACTGAAGCACGTCATCTGTCCTCGCTTGCAACACTTACTTCCGAGTTCCAAACTGCCTCTGGAAGCAACGTCAGCACAAGAACTGTTCGTCGGGAGCTTCATGAAATGGGTTTCCATGGCCGAGCAACCGCATACAAGCCTAAGATCACCGTCGGCTGGAGTGGTGTAAAGCTCTCCGCCATTGGACTCTGGAGTAGTGGAAACGCGTTCTCTGAAGTGATGAATCACGCTTCACCATCTGGATGCCAGGAGAACGCTACCTGCCCCAATGCATAATGCCAACTGTAAAGTTTGGTGGAGGAGGAATAATGGTCTGGGGCTGTTTTTCATGGTTCGGGCTAGGCCCCTTAGTTCCAGTGAAGGGAAATCTTAACGCTACAGCATACAATGACATTCTAGACGATTCTGTGCTTCCAACTTTGTTGGGGAAGGCCTTTTCCTGTTTCAGCATGACAATGCTCTCGTGCACAAAGCGAGGTCCATACAGAAATGGTTTGTCGAGATCGGTGTGGAAGAACTCGACTGGCCTGCACAGAGCCCTGACATCAACCCCATCGAACACCTTTGGGAAGAATTGTAACGCCAACTGCGAGCCAGGCCTAATCGCCCAACATCAGTGCCCGACCTCACTAGTGCTCTTGTGGCTGAATGGAAGCAAGTCCCTACAGTTATGTTCCAACATCTAGTGGAAAGCCTTCCCAGAAGAGTGGAGGCTGTTATAGCAGCAAAGGGTGGACCAACTCCATCTTAATGCCCATGATTTTGAAATGAGATGTTTGTCATGCAGGTGTCCACATACTTTTGGCCATGTAGTGTATCATAGACTGAAAGTCATGTCATGACTAACTTGGTAGTCAGTCAGAAAGACTCCGAGGATACACAACTAATATTGGAGGAAATGGGTGAGGTTGATTCAGATGACACAGATTTGGGATTGCACAAAGGAGCTCTGACTCAGGGTTACCGCTCCTCTCACCCCACCGCACTGTGTTCGCCCACTGCCATAGTTAGTGACTGACTGAGAAATAGGGCATTACACGAGGCTGCGTTGGAAGGAACAATAGACAACAACGAATTGTAACGCAAAATATTTCACTGAAATGGATTGTATCCCTACGCAATGGATGAATTACCTTTTCTAATGGCTGCACTATAATGCAGGTGGAGAGCGCTCTTTATGAACACGTAACGTAACCTATGTGAGTAGCCTGTGGAAGAATACTGATAAATATAACCATAACAAAGGAGTCGTCAAGACAAGCCCGCATTAACGCTCTCTCGTTCTTCAACAATAATTTGCCGTTCAGGAAAAACACATGGCTCGTTTTAAAGGAGCAGCTGCGATGTTAACAGCAGAGAGCAAGAGGACTTTCATTTGGATTTAAAGTAAGTTTTTTTCAGAATTAAAGGTAATGTGTATGCTGTAGAGTATTTCAACGATGTGTTGTATCTACCAATTTTGTACAATTGCTTAATCGTCAGTTGTGGCCCACAAACCGAAAGCGAGTCGCTTGATTCGGTACAGTAGATGGGTGACGTTATACAGTAGGTATAACATTGTAACATTCAAATGATACATTGTACTCTAATCTCGAACCATGCATGTATGATACAAAGTATTCTCAATAAAGGATATTGATATTGTAAAAAAAGTAGGGCTGTCAAATGATTAAAATTTTTAATCAAATTAATCAGAATTTTCAGTGGATTAATCATGATTAATCACTATTTGCAATTACACCTGAATCCTAACCATTTTTTTTCTGAAATGCATACCAAAAGATAAATAACAGGACACAGATACATAATTTTCATATTATGTCTGTTTATTAACACAGCCAAATAATGGTGTTTTAAATCAAGCTGAAACATACTACACACCATAATATTTGTCTTTGGCTGTGGCTCTTGACGGTGGCTTATAGAATGAGTCTTGAGACGCCACTTGCAAAACATCAAGGAAACCTGAGTCTTCTACAATGCTAAGGGGTCTACAATCCTTTGCAATCCATTTTGCTATTGTGTTGGTCAAATTATCTGAGGTTGATTTTGTTAATTGCCTGCAAACATTCAGCGTGGTCTGGCGCAAACCACTTGCTGAATCTGACGGCCCAGCAAACGCATGTTTGGCGTTGACATGGTACTTCAAGCTTGAACAGCTCCGGTGAAATTGAAACTCCTTCTTACAAATCTTGCAAATAACCTTGTACTTGTTAACTGTACCATCATCATTCTTTTTATATTTGAATCCGTCAATAGGCCCACTTTGCTCACCTTGCTCCATCTCGCCTCTAGCTCCCAACCACTTTCCTGACCTGAATAATTTGTCACACTGCGCATGCGTGAAATGCGTTAAAAAAATTGACGTAATTAACAGCAAACAACTAATTAACGTCGTTAACGCGCTATTTTTGACAGCCCTAAAAAAAAGATAATGCACCTGCACCATTGCACCAGTAAAGTAACATTGACCTATTGTATTAATATTGAGTAATGGCAATACGTCACACTGGTTCCCCCAAAAAATATGTGATTGTTTTGTTTGTATTTTTTATTTTATTATTATTGATCATTTGTCAACTTTTAAGATGACTTTTATCTCATCATATTTCTACAATAGTATTGTTTATTCCACTGAACTTCCTCATCCACTTGAGTTCAATTTACAGACAGAAAACATATACAAGGATAAAATCTCTTAGCCAAATCCCCCATGATCCCTTTTCATTTTGGCATGGTCACCGGGTGCCGGTATACAGTTACATTTCTATTCCTGGTCGATGTGACCTAAGCATGCTGTTAACCCTGTGTAGAATCTAGATGCAGTCTATTCTCATATTAGCAAGCCCACTCTAAACCCCCCATCCAAAATTCTGTAATTTCTGACACATTGTATTGACCCCCATTGTATACATAGGAAGTAAAGAGACACAAGGTGCACCCCCTCTGCAAAAAAAACTCAGGCTGCCCTACAATTCTCTCCTTTTTTTTTTTTTTTTTAATTTTAGCTTTTGAGCCCCATATCCTCATGCTTGGTTGGTCCTGGACTCCTCTGTTTGTGAGGCCACATCCGCAGAGCATGGATAGAGAAATAGCCCATAGCCATCTGTTTCATGACATGACCAACAGGATTATTTATTGTCTTATGTTGTTCTGACAAAAGGAGGTGAAGGAGAGAGTGCGTTCAGTGCACATCTGTTACTAGACCCCCTGACACCTCATTATGCCACTCACAGAAGGTGGCAGATAGTTTCAGGATATTGTATCTGGGATAAATGTTATGGAATACATTTCTCAATTATGAAAGTATATGAAGAGGAAGCCTGAAATCCGTATCAGTGTTATCAAATGCCACATTATATATTGTAGGTGGTTGACTGTGTCATACTTATTTTAGCACAAATTTAAGTGGATTGACAGCAGTGTATGTTACCAAAATACTTACTGACACCATCATTAATTTTATTCGTCACAAGCATAAAATGTACTTTCTCATTGGTATTGCTGTATAGGCTACCTATACCCTCTTTATAAAGTAGGCTGACATCCTACTTCTGACATGTATTGATATACCAACTCAGTTATGTTGGATATGCCAACTCAGTTATGTTGGTGAAAATAGTATGGCCATACGAGAACTTGGTCTTCTCAGATGGACTTCCACTGCTTCCCTGTGAATGTCCTCTCTATCTTTTGGTATGTGTGGCTGCACTTTATGGCTTCTGCATTGGCTAAAGTGTTGAGTGATTAACTGGTGAGCTTGAAAATGTCTGGCCTTTCCTTAAGCAGTAAAACACAACAATGCCATGGCAACTGTCTTGCTTACTTTTTGGCATTCCTTTGTCCAGTATGTCCTCTGCTTTAGAGATGTCTGACACTCTAGGTTTAGTGTCTGGTCCTCTGTGTTTTATGATGAAACAGTAAAATGTGAAATTGTCAAAGCTTAAATGATAGTTAACTAGTAGTAAAGGAATGGAAATACATTTGGTCTTACTTATAGAAGTTGATTTATTGTTTCATTTTAAAGTAATGAAACGTTTCTCTGAACTGGAGATAATAGTTCAGGCTACTCACAGATGGAGTCTTTCTTTGTTGAAGCCAACTGAAACTTCTCAGCTGATCCCTATTTTTCATACATGCCCTCACGTTATCAGAATTCCAAGTATAGAGCTATTAGCCCAGTTTCCTAGATCTTATTTCAGTGGTCCCAATGGCTCACTTCCCAAGGCTTAATAATGAAGATCTTTTTGGCTAGCTATACAACATTGAAATTATGATATGAAAACGCTTTCATATTGTTGCGTGAGAAGGTTCAAGCAAGGGTTTAACTCCAGGGAATATGGTCTAAATTTTATACTACCGTGATATAATCCAATTTAGTACCCCTCAGGTATGCCAACCCAACCTTCTCCTATGTTTTCTTTCGTCTACAAGTTTTTCATGAAAGAATATCTCGAGGTGATGCTGTTGTCCTTGCAGAACAGGGTCTATAATTTCCTGGAGATTTGAATCCCTGCCCGTGCCAAAGTGTTTTCAGGGAATAATGGTCTGTGCTCTTTGGTGCCACTTCTAGTAGTGTCAAAGTGCCCTTGCAGTAAAGACATATCCACTCTCATCTCAGACAACCCCATCTGTGATTTTCGGTTTAGAATATTGAAAATAGAGTAATGTCAAATCACCCGTTGACTTCTCTCAAGTCTTCTACTTGAGTAGGCTACATGGTTCACTCTTTGGTTGTAATTTAATAACATGAATATGGTAACTTGCAGAGACAGCCCCATACGAGGTATGAAAGATGCACGTTGGAGCCATTCCCAAAGTGCACTCACTGTGATGAGAACCCATGAGTTCTGCCATTATTGAAGTGGTAAAGGAGAACTCACCTCGCGACGTTGAGAGAATCAATCTCGCTGATTAACTGTGAGGATCTTGGCTGCGCAGCCGCCAGCCCTGTTCTCTTCCAACAGCCGCAATTCATTATTTTCTGTGAAAGTTTTTTTCATTTACCATTGAAGCATGTCCTCTCCCAAATGACATCATGAATTTTAATTACAAAAATGGCGACGTGTCATATTTTACTGTCAGGTCATTTTAGCAAAGAACTTGATTAAACGTTGCACTCTCGTGCTGTACGGAGATCAGAGGTGAGTTTTTGTTTTAAGCTCAGCCTTCTACTGAACAGAGTTATGAAATATTGCTCTTAATTGCATCTCTTATTGGAATCCCTGAGATGCTTGTCTCTGGTGAAAGGGTTCTTCACTTCAAATCTAGGGAGAGCTGAGAGCATATGGAGGGATGAGTGGAGCAGGGGCGGACTTGGACCAAAAATCGGTCCTGGCATTTCTAACAGACTTGGCCATTATTTTCCTTGAGGCCCCCACACCAGGACATTTTTTCCCTCGAGGCCCAACACCGGCCCATTTTTAGCCAGCAAATGATAATTTTGCACAAAAAAACGATGTTAGACAGGCTGACTGGTCTAAAAATGGACGAGCCCATCTGGCATTTGCCAGAAATACCAGATGGCCAGTCCGCCCCTGGAGTGGAGAACCCTATAGGGAACATGATCACCCAAGGATCTATTCTACAACCCTGTCACTGGTTTAGTGCCCTCGCTGCCAATACTCTGTCCTCTCCTATGATTAACCAAAGGTGATTGACTAGGGAATGTCCAATGGGAATGTGACCCCTACAATGTTACGGAAGTGCTCTAGTGGAGATCTCCATGGACCACCTAGGGAGTTGGATTAGGTATCTCAGTGTTCTGATTTGGTATAATTGTGGTCTGGTTAATAGTCAGTAGACTGACATTTGCCCAAAAGCTCTGTCTCAGTAGAAATAAGCTGAGGAGGAGCCCCTAGACAGAGGCACGGTGGGACAGCATGAAAAGGGCATGGAGGTGAAGGGAGGTGCTGCAGTGAGGAGCTCACACCCTGAGGGTTTTTACATAGGGTAGGACTCTCACACTTCAGTGTTGTGATGCCAAAATATTAGCAACATCCACACAATCGCTTATCATATCAATAATTTATACTCAGGTCTTAGTAGGCTGCTCATTACTTAGTGCCCTGAGTTTTCCCTGGTCAGGTCACATGGTCTGGAAATACTCCGGGCCCTACTCTTAATACAGACAAATTGTGAATGAAGAGAGTAAGTCAAGTATGGAAGCCTCCAGTCTCCAGACACATGTTCACATCCAGGTAAGTCTGATGACAAGACGCTTAGAATGTTGGTCTGTTGTTCATTCTCAATGTGTTACCACCATCAATCCATCTTTATGTCTCAAAGCAAATTCTCCATTGATCTATTCCTCTGTACAGTAGCTATAGCTGCAACAAATGACTACTATATTTATTGAATTCCTGCATAATGATTGCCGGGGGATCTTGCTAATGGTATTGACTCACTCAATTACTATTTGTTATAGTGAAAGATAGTTCATTATGAAAACGAGGCACTAGAATCACAGCGTACTATTCTACGTGTCCCGTGTTCTGATTAGACTTGCACGCTTCATTTAATTTATGATTCCAGTCAGGGAATTTCCCCGGGCATAGGCACGGGTGGGCCTGAGTGGGCCCAGGCCCACCCACTGGGGAGCCAGGTCCACCCAATCAGATTGAGCAAAAAGAAATCAGCACACCTATATTTTAGCTTTAATAATCTTTAAAAATGCTAAATCTCTCAGCCTCATGGCAAAATGTGTAGAATAGCATGATAAGCTATACAACTGCACATTTTCCTCTCTGCCCCATGGCAAAATGTGCAGAATTGCAGGTAATTAGCTTTAAAACAGCCACATTTTTCTCTTTGCCCCATGGCAAATTATGTAAAATTGCAAGAAGTTAGCCACTTTCTAAAAATGCTTTTCTGGCTATGCCATGGCCCAGCTAGACCTAAATAAATGCCTCACATCTCAGCACTCTGTACATCTATAGTCACATACTGTTGTTTAGTGTTTCCCTATGCCAAGGGATACATCAATATAAGTAGGTCTCTAATGGCTGAATTGATGAGTCTTAATTGGCATTGATGTGGTTCACTTATGTGGTTCACAGATAATGACCCTGTCCTGTCACTATGGGTGGCTACTGACTAGCCATTTATGCAGCTGTTGTATTGTATGAAGATCTTCAGAATGTTTTTGTCATCAATTTAATATTGTCTGTAAACTAACTCACACTCAACAAATCATACGGTTATTTCACAATATTTTCCTTGCATTGATATTGATCAACCACCAGTCCATGGCTGGATGTAATGGATTTGCTCTCCTGCCTCTGCCCCCGAGGAAAGAAAAACTATCAGAAATGCATTAATCTTATGAGTCATACTTCAAGGTTCGCACTAGCTAGCTATTCAAAAATTATGTTAGAGAGATTGGAAATTCTTAAACTTGTCATGTCATTGACTCAGACCCAGTTTGATGCCTGTGCTTGTCCAGTGTGTTGTCTCACTCTGTTGTACACTCCTGGCTATGGGCTTATGAGCACACACACACACACACACACACACACACACACACACACACACACACACACACACACACACACACACACACACACACACACACACACACACACACAGTGCTGTAGTTTGGAAATTGTGTAAACGAGCAGCTCTTTGTGTGGTTTGCTGACTCATCCTACCTGTCTGATCCCTGATGGCCTGTCGTGTCACTGCTCAGCTGTGGAGGCATGAGGCTCCGCTACCCCTCTACCCTGGGCCTGTGTGTGTGTGTGCTTGCCTGCATGCGTGCAAGCAGGTGTGCGTATGGAATGTGTGTGTGTGTATCGTTACTCATTGTGTATTTAGTCCTTGTGTTATTTTTTTCTTTATTATTTCTCTTTTTTTATCTCTGCATTTTCGGGAAGTAAGCATTTCACCTGTTGTTTACGAAGCATGTGACAAATAAAAATGGATTTGATTTGAATGTATGTCCGTTTGTGGGTGTGTGTGTGCTTCTTTCTGGTGCACCAGGCACTTTTAGTTAACCCTCACCGGAAGCCCCAGACAGAGAGAGGCACACGAGGTCCTACGGTTGCCGAGATGTTTGGATCAGAGTCCCTAAGGGAAATAGAGAAAGAGCAGAGCAGAGGCAAACAGTCAGTGAATGACAAGTGCAGCATGTGATGAAAACAACAGCAGAACCAGACTCCTCCTGCTAACATCAGCTACCATGCATAATGCTTGTTCGTCCACTGCCTGTGTTCCAGTAGAGCTGTAAAGCTGTAGTGGGTAAAGTAAACAAGGCCATGTTAGCCTGACAGTATTTTACTGCTGTGGGTGACCCATAGAGTTCTGCATTCACAGTTCGTATCTGCATTCTGCACAGACTACATGCTTTTAAAGACTTTATTTATCCCTATGGAACTTCATTTGTGGTGTCAGATACAACCATATACAAGTAATTGCAATCACACATAACAATGCATTTTTCTTCCTCGCTTTGCAATTTTGACATGTTTTACTGCTATTAAATGACCATGATGGCATGGTGTGCAGCATAGTTTTATGCATGCTATTAATACTTTGGATCAAGTCTGTACAGTGTGTGTGTGCTCTCTGAATAGCCAGTGAGTTGTAAGGTTGAGTTGGCTTACAGTGTGTGATGGCTGTAGCCCCGGGTCTATGTCATTTGAAGGGTGGGTCTGACACTGGGCATGATTGCGTTTTGCCACAAAACGTGTTAATGCAGGTCAAAGCCAAGACTCTGTTCTCCTTGGCTGTGACTCAGGCCTGCCAAAACGCACAACCTCTGTCTGCTGAAGAAAAACAGAGAGCGTGTACAGACAGATATTCAGCTGAAGTGGCGCGCTCCAATAATACTGTTATAAAATGTATTATAAACTGGGTGGTTCGAGCCCTGAATGCTGATTGGCTGACAGACGTAGTATATCAGACCGTATATCATGGGTTTGACAAAACATATATTTTTACTGCTCTAATTACATTGGTAACCAGTTTATAATAGCAATAAGGCACCTTGGGGGCTGGCGGTATATGGCCAATATACCACGGCTAAGGGCTGTATCCAGGCACTCCGCGTTGCGTCGTGTTTAAGAACAGCCCTTAGGCGTGGTATATTGGCCATATACCACACCCCCTTGTGCCTTATTGCTTAAACACGTCTCAGTACTACCCATCACATCACCTTGTGTTATGACATTTGTTTTTATGTTTGCCTCCCCAGAGACGTTCATTTCATATAGTTTATTATCAAATGTGGAAGTAAACATCATATATAATAGAAATGGGCCTGTAACTTTTCAAATGTTCCCTTTAGTCGAATAATTAAAGCTAAGCTCAACTCTGTCGACATTAAAAAAAACTCTGCTTCACTGCTGCATTGACGTCATCTCGTCTCCCTACACTGTTGTGATAGTTACCACGGTAATTCAGCTGTGCCTGTGTTTGTGTCCTAATCACTGGCTGTCCTGTCAGAACCTATGAAGTAATCAACTGTTCTTCCCCACTTCCATGGAATAAAAAGGCATCTGGCTGCATTGTACACATTGTGCGCGTCCCAAATGAAATCCTATTCCCTATATAGTGCACTACTTCAGAACAGAGCCCTATGGGCCCTGGTCAAAAGTGGTGCACTGTAAAGGGAATAGGGTGCCACCTGGATCGCACCCACTGAACAATGATGGTGGTCTGATTGAAAAGTTTCCATGAAAGCCTTTTTACCCCCAGGTTCTCAGGTTACTGATGACAGATATCAGTTAACAGACCACCCCCTATTTATCTCAATCTAAAATATATTTTCAGCTATTCACTGTATAATGGGACTATATTTGGACAGTACAGTAGCAATCATTGCATTCTCCTGATTGCTTTTAGTTAGTAGCATACAGGACTGAATTAGTATGTTTTACATGTTTCAGATTTTTCAAACAAGGCTGTAAGTCGATCAGAATAGGCACTACCAGCATAGGGAGTCTTTTCCATAGAAATAAAACTAAATCTATGGTCTGTTCACTCACAAGGCAATGCTCACTGCTTACATAGAAGTGAGTTACAGGCTATGCCTGCCTTTTCATATCCTGTTGTTACCACCTTATCAAGCTGCCAGACCCCAGTGACTTGTAATAACTGATGATGAAAAGATCAAGTATATTTCCAGTAACACTGTCCAGACTTATATTGGATGTGTTTCACTCATACGATATTATAACTGCGATCGATAATAGACAGTACTGTGCAGCCGTCTTCATCGACCTGGCCAAGGCTTTCGACTCTGTCAACCACCGCATTCTTATTGGCAGACTAAATAGCCTTGGTTTCTCAAATGACTGCCTCGCCTGGTTCACCAACTACTTCTCAGATAGAGTTCAATGTGTAAAATCGGAGGGCCTGTTGTCTGGACCTATGGCAGTCTCTATGGGGGTACCACAGGGTTCAATTCTTGGGCCGACTCTTTTCTCCGTGTATATCAATGATGTCGCTCTTGCTGCTGGTGACTCTCAGATCCACCTCTACGCAGACGACACCATTTTGTATAGATCTGGCCCTTCATTGGACACTGTGTTAACAAACCTCCAAATGAGCTTCAATGCCATACAACACTCCTTCAGTAGCCTCCAACTGCTCTTAAACACTAGTAAAACTAAATGCATGCTCATCAATCGAACGCTGCTGGCACCCGCCCACCCGACTAGAATCACTACTCTCAACGAGTATGACCTAGAGTATGTGGACAACTACAAATACCTAGGTGTCTGGTTAGACTGTAAACTCTCCTTCCAGAATCACATTAAGCATCTCCAATCCAAAGTTAAATCTAGAATCGGCTTCCTATTTCGCAACAAAGCCTCCTTCACTCATGCTACCAAACATGCCCTCGTAAAACGTACTATCCTACCGATCCTTGACTTCGGCGATGTCATTTACAAAATAGCCTCCAACACTCTACTCAGCAAATTGGATGTAGTCTATCACAGTGCCATCCGTTTTGTCACCAAAGCCCCATATACTACCCACCACTGTGACCTGTATGCTCTTGTTGGCTGGTCCTCACTACATATTCGTCGCCAAACCCACTGGCTCCAGGTCATCTATAAATCACTGCTAGGCAAATCCCCGCCTTAGCCTTAGCTCATTGGTCACCATAGCAACACCCATCCGTAGTATGCGCTCCAGCAGGTATATCTCACTGGTCATCCCCAAAGCCAACACCTCCTTTGGCTACCATTCCTTCCAGTTCTCTGCTGGCAATGACTGGAACGAATTGCAAAAATCTCTGAAGCTGGAGACTCTTATGTCCCTCACTAACTTTAAGCATCAGTTGTCAGAGCAGCTTACCGATCACTGCACCTGTACACAGCCCATCTGAAATTAGCCCACCCAACTACCTCATCCCCATATTGTTATTTATTTTGCTCATTTGCACCCCAGTATCTACTTGCACATCATCTCTTGCACATCTATCATTCCAGTGTTAATACTAATTTTAATTATTTTTCACTATGGCCTATTTATTGCCTTACCTCCACAACTTGCTACATTTGCACACACTGTATATATATTTTCTGTTGTATTTTTGACTTTATGTTTTGTTTTACCCCATATGTAACTCTGTGTTGTTGTTTTTATCGCACTGCTTTGCTTTATCTTGGCCAGGTCGCAGTTGTAAATGAGGCAACATCAGTTGAAGCTAAAGCTGATGAACTGCAGATACAGATGACAAATATCAATGTGACAAGCCTGGCCTTGGGGAGTTAATGCAAGTCTTTAGGTCTTAGGGAAAGTTACTCATCACACAAGCATGGTTCAATGAACCACCTCCCTTACAAATGCTACTTTCTCAACCTCCCATGTTTTCTTTTACAGGCTGTATGCTGTGTTTTGGCCAGTCAGCCTTTTTCCGCTTCAACCACCCAGAGGAGGCGTTCAGGATGAAGAGCATGATGCCAGAGGGAAGCAAGGGCTCCGGTGGGAACTACAGAATCCACTCAGGTAATACAGTACTGTCACAGGTAATACAGTACTGTCACAGGTAATATAGTACTGTCACAGGTAATACAGTACTGTCACAGGTAATATAGTACTGTCACAGGTAATACAGTACTGTCACAGGTAATATAGTACTGTCACAGGTAATATAGTACTGTCACAGGTAATATAGTACTGTCACAGGTAATACAGTACTGTCACAGGTAATATAGTACTGTCACAGGTAATATAGTACTGTCACAGGTAATATAGTACTGTCACAGGTAATATAGTACTGTCACAGGTAATATAGTACTGTCACAGGTAATACAGTACTGTCACAGGTAATACAGTACTGTCACAGGTAATGTAGTACTGTCACAGGAAATACAGTACTGTCACAGGTAATATAGTACTGTCACAGGTCATACAGTACTGTCATGACACACTCAAGGTAAAGGCCCTACCGTTGTATGAACTAATCATGTCGAAACATTTACTGAAAAATTAAGCAGAAAATCAAATGTAGATGTCTGTCTGGATATTACAAGATACATTTTGTGAGCACTTCACCTGAACCCTCTTAAATACAAAGCTTACATAATACTCCGAATACATGGCCGATATCAGCTTATGGCGATCAACGTTGGAGTGCAATGACACACACTTAATATAAACTCCTGGGGTAAATCTAAAGGTAAGCAAAGGGTTAAAAGCAAAGTATTTTAAAGACATTTTGAATACCCAGTCAAATGAAAAGACACTGAATAAACATGGCTACACTTCCTCCACCAAGGTCCTTGTTTCTGTGTCGCCACACAGATGAATGGCTCAGATGGTTACAGTGGCTAAGGAGGCAGCTCCCCTATAGGTGCTGAGTTCCACACGCCACAGAAGGCCCCCTATTGCCTTTCCATTTCCGTCCTGGGTGGAGACAGGGTGCAACAGAACCCTGGCTGCCTAGGCCTGCTGGCCCTGGTTTCACACCATGCATGTTTTATGAGCATCTCATTCCTCTCTGGGTCTCTAGGCAGAAGTGTTCAGCTGCCTAGCCCTGCCTGTCCTCTCATCGCAGGCACAGTGGAGTGTGTTTCCCCTTCTTGGCCGCCTTTGGGGGATCTGGGGGATCTGTCCCAGCATCTTGTTATTTCCTTATTTTTTTGCGCGTTGACGATGTGCCACCGGTGTATTGCGCATATACATATTGGGTGTTGAACTTCCTGGTTTGGTAATTAATGCTTTCCGATGTTGTTTAAAAGGCTTGATTTCTCCTTAGATGTGCATTCCTTGGTGTGGTCGCTAGAGAGGGTCTGTTCTTACCCTTGGCGTACTTAAACTGGTTATTATTGTGTGTCACATTAAGGTTGATAGATTTTATTTATGAGTAGGATTTCTAAGACATTCTAGTGCTTGCTTGGTAACCCCCACTCACATATAGTACATTGCAGTAAGCCTATACAGTAGTTAGAGTTCTGACAGGCACTAGTCTCTTCTGCCACCCTCAGTGAGCAGCTCTGACACATTTCCTACCAGGCTCATTCGTATGCTAGCCAGGCACACAGCTTTGTTGGCTACGCACTACTTATTCTAAGTTGAGGGGTATCTTCTCCTGTTTCTATTTTTAGACCTCCACCCTATTCTACTATCTTCCATCTCCCACTTCCTGGTGTTTCTTGAACCTTTCCTGCACCGCACCCTTTCCCTGTGTATTTTAGGTTAAAAGAGGGGATTTAAATGCCCTCTCTATCTTAATGATCTCTTGGCCACATCGCTTCCATCTTAATATCCCATCATTTCAAATGGTTAGGCTCTGCCTACAAAGTCTGATATAGCTTACACATTCCACAACTGTTATTTGATGCAGTCAAAATCCATTGGTTCATTGTCTATGCAGTAAAAAGTACAATAGGCAAGGAAATATATAACCTTTTAGATAATTATTGAGTGAGTTTTTGTGTGTTGAAGTATCAGTGTGTGTAGTGTGTAGATTCATGTGAGTGTGCATAGAGACAGTGCAAAAATAAAAATAAAATACAAAGGTCAACTCAGATAGTCTGTGTAGCCATTTTGTTAGCTATTTAATTAGCTATTTAGCAGTCTTATGACATGGGGATAGAAGCTGTTCAGGAGCCTGTTGGTGTCAGACCGGATGCACCGGTACCGCTTGCCATGCGGAAGCAGAGAGAACAGTCTATGGCTTGGGTGGCTGGAGTCTTTAACGATTTTCCGGCCCTTCCTTTCACACCTCCTGATATAGAGGTCCTGGATGGCAGGGAGCCCGGCCCCAGTGATGTACTGGGCTGTCCGCACCACCCTCTGTAGTGCCATGTGATCGAGGGCGGTGCTATTGCCATACCAAGCAGTGATGCAGTCAGTCAAGATGCTCTCAATGTAGAACTTTGTAGAATTTTTTGAGGATTTGAGGGCCTATGCCAATCCTTTTCAACCTCCTGAGGGGGAAGAGGCGCTGTCGCGCCTTCTTCACGACTGTTCACACGTGTGTGGACCATTTTAAGTTCTTTGTGATTTGGACACCGAGGAACTTGAAGCTCTCGACCAGCCCCGCTGATGTGGATGGAGACGTGCTCGCCCCCCGGTTTCCTGTAGTCCACGATCAGCTCCTTGGTCTTACTGACATTGAGGGAGAGGTTGTTGTTGGGGTCCCACACTGCCAGGTCACTGACCTCCTCCCTGTAGGCTGTCTCATCGTCGCCAGTGATCAGGCCTACCACCGTTGTGTCGTCAGCAAACTTGATGATGGAGTTGGAGTCATGCGTGGCCACGCAGTCGTGGGTGATCAGGGAGTACAGGAGGAGACTAAGCACACACCCCTTTGTGGCCCCTGTGTTGAGGGTCAGCGTGGCGGAGTTTATGTTGCCTACCCTCACCACCTGGGGTCGGCCCGTCAGGAAGTCCTGGATCCAGTTGCAGAGGGAGGTGTTCAGTCCCAGGGTCCTAAACTTGGTGACGAGCTTGGAGGGGACAATGGTGTTGAATGCTGAGCTGTATTTAATGAACAGCATTCTCACATTGTTATTCCTCTTATCTAGGTGGGTGAGGGCAGTGTGGAGTGCAACTGAGATTGCGTCATCTATTGATCTGTTGGGGCATTATTGCAAATTGGAGTGGTTCTAGGGTGTCTGGGATGATGGAGTTGATGTGAGCCATAACCAGCCTCTCAAAGCACTTAATGATTACAGATGTGAGTGCTACAGGGCGGTAGTCATTGTGGCATGAAGCCTTAGAGTTCTTAGGAACAGGAATGATGGTGGTCATCTTAAAACATGTGGGGATTACAGACTGGGACAAGGAGAGGTTGAAAATGACCGTGAATATACCTGCCAGCTGTTCTGCGCATGCTCTGAGAACGCGCCCTGGAATACCATCGTGCCCCGCGGCCTTGCAGGTATTTACCTGATTAAAGACTTTACTCACGTTGGCCTTGGAGAGCGAGATCAACCTCAATCTTCTGGGTCGGTGGCGGCCCTCACACCCGGTACGATGTTGTTATTGTCAAAGCGTGCATAGAATGCATTGAGTTCGTCTGGAGAGAGGCATCGTTGGGCAGATCACGGCTGGGTCTTCCTTTGTAATCCGTAATGGACTGTAGCCCCTGCCACATGCGGTGGGCATCGGAGCCTGTGTAATATGATTCCACCTTATTCCTATATTGTCCTTTTGCTCATTTGATGACTGCGGAGGTCGTAGTGGGACTTCTTGTACTTGTTCCTGTCCTCAGCCGTAGCCTCAGGGTTGTCTGCGACACTACATCCCTATTTAGTTTATAGCCTACAGTGAAACATAATAACCATGGATGTTGCAACTAATTTACCCTATTATTCATAGTGTCCAGTAATATGTAATATTATTGGCTAGACCTGGGCCCAAATAATGCTGTGAACTGACTTTTTAAAGGTCCAATGCAGACGTACTTATCTCAATATCAAATAATGTCTGAGTAACAATTAAGTACCTTACTAACCACGTTTCCATCCACAGATTTTATGTGAGGAAAGTCATATCGTATTTTTAAAAACGACACATGAGATGGAAACGGCTTTATGCGCAAATATTGATATAATAACCATCAAATCGAAGTAAATTTGGAGTCACGTGATCATATGTGTGTGGTCCTCCCACTACAACTCGGGAAAGCATACAGTTTATTGGGCTACAGATTAAATAAATTATGATGAACTTCACAGGGTGGTGAAAGTCCAAGGTGATGAGCTTGATGCTGCTTTCCAATAAATATCGAGGGTCTTATTCTGGTGAAATTATCGATGCTTGACTGCTGTTTGACAAATACAAATATTCTCGCTCTTATCCATAATAATCTCATCATGTAGACTAGCCAACCCGCACAGCCTACCCCCACTGTATCTGTGAGCTGTTGGCTAGAGCAGGTGCCCAGACCAGATTTGGCATATTTGCTAACAGAACAGTTTTTGTGACAATTATCTGTAGAGTTTAAAATGCGATGGAAACACATGATTTTTATTCGGTACATGAAAATGTAAGCGAAAAAATACATTTTGTGTGGACTGTCATCACGCACTGATGTCTGTTTGGTAAAAAATGTGCATATTTTCTTTATGCAGATTCTAGAATATTTGCATGAAAATCTGTCGTCAATTGGATGAAAACCTAGCTACTGTGATTGTTTTAAATTAAAATGCAATTTCTCATGCACAATTTAGCTAGGACTGTCTGGGAGTGATTTGAGTTAGGGATCTAATTGGAGGAGCCTAATGGGAGGGATACAGTGGGGGGAAATTTTATTTAGTCAGCCACCAATTGTGCAAGTTCTCCCACTTAAAAAGATGAGAGAGGCCTGTAATTTTCATCATAGGTACACGTCAACTATGACAGACAAATTGAGAAAAAAAATTTCCAGAAAATCACATTGTAGGATTTTTTATGAATTTATTTGCAAATGATGGTGGAAAATAAGTATTTGGTCACCTACAAACAAGCAAGATTTCTGGCTCTCACAGACCTGTAACTTCTTCTTTAAGAGGCTCCTCTGTCCTCCACTCGTTACCTGTATTAATGGCACCTGTTTGAACTTATTATCAGTATAAAAGACACCTGTCCACAACCTCAAACAGTCACACTCCAAACTCCACTATGGCCAAGACCAAAGAGCTGTCAAAGGACACCAGAAACAAAATTGTAGACCTGCACCAGGCTGGGAAGACTGAATCTGCAGCTTGGTTTGAAGAAATCAACTGTGGGAGTAATTATTAGGAAATGTAAGACATACAAGACCACTGATAATCTCCCTCGATCTGGGGCTCCACGCAAGATCTCACCCCGTGGGGTCAAAATGATCACAAGAACGGTGAGCAAATATCCCAGAACCACACGGGGGGACCTAGTGAATGACCTGCAGAGAGCTGGGACCAAAGTAACAAAGCCTACCATCAGTAACACACTACGCCGCCAGGGACTCAAATCCTGTAGTGCCACACGTGTCCCCCTGCTTAAGCCAGTACATGTCCAGGCCCATCTGAAGTTTGCTAGAGTGCATTTGGAAGATCAAGAAGAGGATTGGGAGAATGTCATATGGTCAGATGAAACCAAAATAGAACTTTTTGGTAAAAACTCAACTCGTCGTGTTTGGAGGACAAAGAATGCTGAGTTGCATCCAAAGAACACCATACCTACTGTGAAGCATGGGGGTGGAAACATCATGCTTTGGGGCTGTTTTTCTGCAAAGGGACCAGGACGACTGATCCGTGTAAAGGAAAGAATGAATGAGGCCATGTATCGTGAGATTTTGAGTGAAAACCTCCTTCCATCAGCAAGGGCATTGAAGATGAAACGTGGCTGGGTCTTTCAGCATGACAATGATCCCAAACACACTGCCCGGGCAACGAAGGAGTGGCTTCGTAAGAAGCATTTCAAGGTCCTGGAGTGGCCTAGCCAGTCTCCAGATCTCAACCCCATAGAAAATCTTTGGAGGGAGTTGAAAGTCCATGTTGCCCAGCGACAGCCCCAAAACATCACTGCTCTAGAGGAGATCTGCATGGAGGAATGGACTTACAGAAAACGTTTGACCTGTGTCATTGCCAACAAAGGGTATATAACAAAGTATTGAGAAACTTTTGTTATTGACCAAATACTTATTTTCCACCATAATTTGCAAATAAATTCATAAAAAATCCTACAATGTGATTTTCTGGATTATTTTTTTCTCATTTTGTCTGTCATAGTTGACGTGTATCTATGATGAAAATTACAGGCCTCTCTCATCTTTTTAAGTGGGAGAAGTTGCACAATTGGTGGCTGACTAAATACTTTTTTCCCCCACTGTATGTAACCTGAAAACTAGATGTTATTGGCAGAGAGGTTTGAAACTCTCTTTGTTAATGGTCTATTAACTTATACTGCCTGGTGATGTCTTGAGGCAGGCCAAAACTCCACCCATACAAAATGAGTTGAAATTTCAGGCAGTCTTTTTCAAACTACTCTTAAGCGCAAATGGTATTATCACCATTTAGACAATTTCACAGTAATATTCCATGTTCATAGTGTGGAAATATATTATAAAACACAGAAAAATGACGTTTTTGACAGCACTGCCCCTTTAAGAAGAAAAACAGACGACATAGTTCCCGCCCCTTTAAATTTACCAGGCGGTCACATCAGCACGGTGGACAGGGAAGGGAGGGGGGGACGCGAGCTAGCAGCCATCCGGCTGGAATATCACGTCGGCAGAGGCTCTCTCAACCTTCCCGGGTGCAGAGAGCCGGGTAGGCTACGGTAAAGGCAGCTTTATTGAGGTAGAAATGCCGGGCTCCAGCGATTGGGTTTTAGCTGGGTTATAAATTATTATAAACGTCTTAGTCGCAAGCTTACCCATTCATGTAAGTACTGATAATTATTATTATTATTGCCGCTTTGGTGTTGGACATATAGGGTCGGTCTAGGGACAGAGACGAATGTATTTTCACGGTCATTCTCTTAAGTTTTTGACATTGTGGGTCTATTCATATTCTGAGACGTTTGACAATTGAAATGCTGGTGACATCCTAAGACCATGTGGCCTTTTCTGTGCTGAGAAAATAACGGGGGAAAATTAATAACCGAAAAATATCCATATAATTGTAATTTACACAAATGTATTGGGGCCATATGATGGTCGTGCTGTCACTCAAAACGACATGATGCTTGGATAGTTTTTCTGCTTGGCATAAGAAGAGCTCTGGTTGAGTCATTGTAGAAAGACCAGGCAGAAAGGCTACTCCCAGCTCTTTGCTGAACAAATAGTGGTTATGCATTATTTGTAAAGCCTCTTCATCATCCAGGGCAATGAGATAATCTTTATGAATAGAAAGCAAAATCACATAACAATCTTAATTAAATATCTTATTTACTGCTGCCTCAATTTGTCGGGCATGGACTCGACAAGGTGTTGAAAGCGTTCCACACGGATGCTAGCCCATGTTGACTCCAATGCTTGATACACACAGGAACTGTTGAACATTAAAAACCCAGCAGCGTTATTTTCACATACATCGAATAGGTGCAGTGAAATGTGTTGTTTTACAGGGTCAGCCATAGTAGTACGCCACCCCTGGAGCTAATTAAGGATAAGTGCCTTGCGGCTCGGGTATTCGAACCAGGGACCTTTCGTTTACTGGCCCAACGCTCTAACCACTAGGTTACTTGCCATCATACTAATGATGGCATTGCTTATTCCTGGTTGCAGCCTATTAGCATAGCATATCATATTAATACACCTGGATGTCCCCTTGTGCTCCCTAATCTACCACGTTGACATTATGGGGAGGCTGCGGGTTGACTGAGATTTCGATTGAATTACAACTGTGCCCTGGCCTGCACTGCTCTTCAGCCACACAGTAATTGGGTTATACTGGCACATTTTTCCCTCAATCTTTCCAAAGCCTGTCTTTTGCTGCCTCTGTCTCTCACTCTCTCTCAATCTCGCTCCCTCTGTTTCCCGCTCTCTCTGTCTCTGTTTCTCTCACTCTTTCTCTGTTTCTATGTCTCTGTATCTCTCTCTCTCTCTCCTCCCTCCTTATTTACATTAGCATTTCTTCATGCAAATTGTGATTTGGGTAAATGAAGTTGGGCAGCTGGCGGGTTTAAATTTAGAAGCGCTTTAAGATAATTGATTGATTGACGTTTGGCCAACCTTTAAAACATAAAACCCAATTGTAGGTACTTGTGCTAAGGGATTAGGTTATATCATAAAAGTAACAAGGCACTTTATATTAATGAGAGGTGGTGCAACCGTAAGATACAGTCCATTTATGAACTTTATCGTCCATTAAAATCTCTCAACGTCATCTCATTATCTATTCAGCTCTTAGAGCTTATGTCTGTTTCTATTTGTCATATATTCCATTTTCAGGGATATACCATACTGTAAATATTGCACATTTTGGTATCTATACTGTATAATATATGCACAATATATATATATATAACTGTTTTAGAACACCTACTCATTCAAGGGTTTTTCTTTATTTTGACTATTTTCTACATTGTAGAATAATAGTGAAGACATCAAAACTATGAAATAACACATATGGAATCATGTAGTAACCATAAGTGTTAAACAAATCAAAATACACACTGCTCAAGAATAAAGGGAACACTTAAACAACACATCCTAGATCTGAATGAATGAAATAATCTTATTAAATACTTTTTTCTTTACATAGTTGAATGTGCTGACAACAAAATCACACAAAAATTATCAATGGAAATCAAATTTATCAACCCATGGAAGTCTGGATTTGGAGTCACCCTCAAAATTAAAGTGGAAAACCACACTACAGGCTGATCCAACTTTGATGTAATGTCCTTAAAACAAGTCAAAATGAGGCTCAGTAGTGTGTGTGGCCTCCACGTGCCTGTATGACCTCCCTACAACGCCTGGGCATGTTCCTGATGAGGTGGCGGATGGTCTCCTGAGGGATCTCCTCCCAGACCTGGACTAAAGCATCCGCCAACTCCTGGACAGTCTGTGGTGCAACGTGGCGTTGGTGGATGGAGCGACACATGATGTCCCAGATGTGCTCAATTGGATTCAGGTCTGGGGAACGGGCGGGCCAGTCCATAGCATCAATGCCTTCCTCTTGCAGGAACTGCTGACACACTCCAGCCACATGAGGTCTAGCATTGTCTTGCATTAGGAGGAACCCAGGGCCAACCGCACCAGCATATGGTCTCACAAGGGGTCTGAGGATCTCATCTCGGTACCTAATGGCAGTCAGGCTACCTCTGGCGAGCACATGGAGGGCTGTGCGGCCCCCCAAAGAAATGCCACCCCACACCATGACTGACCCATCGCCAAACCGGTCATGCTGGAGGATGTTGCAGGCAGCAGAACGTTCTCCACGGCGTCTCCAGACTCTGTCACATGTGCTCAGTGTGAACCCGCTTTGAAGAGCACAGGGCGCCAGTGGCGAATTTGCCAATCTTGGTGTTCTCTGGCAAATGCCAAACGTCCTGCACGGTGTTGGGCTGTAAGCACAACCCCCACCTGTGGACGTCGGGCCCTCATACCACCCTCATGGAGTCTGTTTTCTGACCGTTTGAGCAGACACATGCACATTTGTGGCCTGCTGGAGGTCATTTTGCAGGGCTCTGGCAGTGCTCCTCCTGCTCCTCCTTGCACAAAGGCAGAGGTAGCGGTCCTGCTGCTGGGTTGTTGCCCTCCTACGGCCTCCTCCACGTCTCCTGATGTACTGGCCTGTCTCCTGGTAGCGCCTCCATGCTCTGGACACTACGCTGACAGACACAGCAAACCTTCTTGCCACAGCTCGCATTGATGTGCCATCCTGGATGAGCTGCACTACCTGAGCCACTTGTGTGGGTTGTAGACTCCGTCTCATGCTACCACTAGAGTGAAAGCACCGCCAGCATTCAAAAGTGACCAAAACATCAGCCAGGAAGCATAGGAACTGAGAAGTGGTCTGTGGTCACCACCTGCAGAACCACTTCTGTATTGGGGGTGTCTTGCTAATTGCCTATAATTTCCACCTGTTGTCTATTCCATTTGCACAACAGCATGTGAAATGTATTGTCAATCAGTTTTGCTTCCTAAGTGGACAGTTTGATTTCACAGAAGTGTGATTGACTTGGAGTTACGTTGTGTTGTTTAAGTGTTCCCTTTTATTTTTTTGAGCGGTGTATTTGAAATTCTTCAAATAGCCACCCTTTGGCTTGATGACAGCTTTGCACAATCTTGGCATTCTCTCAACCAGCTTCATGAGGTAGTCACCTGGAATGCAATTCAATTAACAGGTGTGCCTTGTTAATTTGTGGAATTTCTTTCCTTCTTAATGCGTTTCAGCCAATCAGTTGTGTTGTGACAAGGTAGGGGAGTATACAGAAGATAGCTCTATTTGGTAAAATACCAAGTCCATATTATGGCAAGAACAGCTCAAATAAGCAAAGAGAAACAACAGTCCATCATTACTTTAAGACATGAAGGTCAGTCAATACGGAACATTTCAAGAACTTTGAAAGTGCAGTCGCAAAAACCATCAAGCGCTATGATGAAACTGGCTCTCATGAGGACCGCCACAGGAAAGGAAGACCCAGAGTCACCTCTGCTGCAGACGATAAGTTAATTAGAGTTACCAGCCTCAGAAATTGCAGCCCAAATAAATGCTTCACAGAGTTCAAATAACAGACACATCTCAACATCAACTGTTCAGAGGAGACTGCATGAATCAGGCCTTCATGGTTGAATTGCTGCAAAGAAACCACTACTAAAGGACACCAATAATAAGAAGAGACTTGCTTGGGCCAAGAAACACAAGCAATGGACATTAGACCGGTGGAAATCTGTCCTTTGGTCTGATGACTCCAAATTTGAGATTTTTGGATCCAACCGCCGTGTCTTTGTGAGACGCAGAGTAGGTGAACGGATGATCTCCGCATGTGTGGTTCCCACCTTGATGCATGGAGGAGGTGTGATGGTGTAGGGGTGGTTTGCTGGTGACACTGTCTGTGATTTATTTAGAATTCAAGGCACACCTAACCAGCATGGCTACCACAGCATTCTGCAGTGATATGCCATCACATCTGGTTTGCGTTTAATGGGACTATCATTTGTTTTTCAACAGGACAATGACCCAACACACCTCCAGGCTGTATAAAGGCTATTTGACCAAGAAGGAGATTGATGGAGTGCTGCATCGGATGAAAGTTTCTTCAAGTGCAGTCACAAAAACCATCAAGCGCTATGATGAAACTGGCTCTCATGAGGACCGCCACAGGAATGGAAGACCCAGAGTTACCTCTGCTACAGAGGATAAGTTCATCAGAGTTACCAGCCTCAGAAATTGCAGCCCAAAAAAATGCTTCACAGAGTTCAAGTAACAGACACATCTCAACATCAACTGTTCAGAGGAGACTGCGTGAATCAGGCCTTCATGGTCGAATTGCTGCAAAGAAACCACTACTAAAGGACACCAATAATAAGAAGAGACTTGCTTGGGCCAAGAAATACGAGCAATGGACAGTAGACCGGTGGAAATCTGTCCTTTGGTCTGGAGTCCAAATTGGAGATTTTTGGTTCCATCCGCCGTCTCTTTGTGAGATACTTAACCAGCATGGCTACCGCAGAATTCTGCAGCGATACGCCATCCCATCTGGTTTGGGCTTAGTGGGACTATCATTTGTTTTTCAACAGGACAATGACCCATGACAACTGATCAATGACAGCTCCAGGCTGTGTAAGGGCTATTTTACCAAGAAGGAGCGTGATGGAGTGCTGCATCAGATTACCTGGCCTCCACAATCCCCCGACCTCAACCAAATTGAGATGGTTTGGGATGAGTCGGACCGCAGAGTGAAGGAAAAGCAGCCAACAAGTGCGCCGCTTATGTGGGAACTCCTTCAAGATTGTTGGAAAAGCATTCCAGGTGAAGCTGGTTGAGAGAATGCCAAAAGTGTGCAAAGCTGTCATCAAGGCAAAGGGTGGCTATTTGAAGAATCTCAAATATAAAATATATATTGATTTGTTTAACACTTTTTTTGGTTACTACATGATTCCATATGTGTTATTTCATAGTTTTGATGTCTTCACTATTATTCTACAATGTAGAAAATAGTAAAAATAAAGAAAAACCCATGAATGAGTAGGTGTTCTAAAACTTTTGCAGTGATCATAATCTTCACTCATCGTATTGCCTAGTGAGTGATCATAATATTTACTCAGACCACCCTTTACATGTATACCTGAGACTGATATTAGTTCTGTTTTCCCTACAGACTCAAAGAGCCTGGTCAATGGGAACCATCAGTCAGGAGCGTCCCAGTCGCACCACCCAGCTCCCGGTGAGAGAGTCTCCTGCTCTGAGCATAGTGCCATCGTCAGCTCCATCGAAAAGGACCTCCAGGACATCATGGACTCCCTAGTCATGGATGATCCCCAGCCTTCCGCTTCAGACTCAAAAAAGCCAGACCACCCCATCCCCAACTCCCCGCTGTCCCCCATGGTCAACGGAGGAGGCCGCAACCTCCTCTCCCCTCCCACCAGCCCGGGGGCTATGTCAGTGGGCTCCAGCTATGAGAACACCTCCCCGCCCTTCTCCCCCCTGTCCTCTCCATCGGCGGCCAGCAGCGCAGGCAGCTACACCAGCCCTTCTCCCAGCGGCTGCCTGGACCCCCAGGACCCATCTCTGCCCCCTGTGCCGGTCCGCTCATCCAGCTACAACTACACAACTACACCGCCCATCCCCCAGCCAAGGACCATACTGACCAACTACAGCCCCGGCAGTGGGGTGCAGAGGGTTCCTGAGAGCCCCAGGCTCCAGAGGAAAGGTCTCCTGGAGGCCCCCCAAAGCCCCAAGCCGGCCCGCAGAGGCCAGAGCCTGGACAGCCCAGGGGGGATGGGTTCAGAGGTTCCCAGACTGACCCACCTATCTGTTGCATCAGCCGATGCCGGGTACATGGGCAGGAACGCAGTGCCAAGTAGCCCCAGACTCACCTCCAAGTTCCCCTACGCCACCACGTCCTCCTCCCCATCCAGCCCCAGGACGAAAGCAGGCACCATCCTCCAGGAGAGTCCGGCCAGACCCTTCAGAGAGCAGGCGGACCGCTCCCTCACCTCCAGCTCTTCCAGACAGCTGCTATCCCAGCCCAGCAGGGCCTTCCAGCCTCCCCTGGACCCCATCGTCCACATCATCCAGGGGGGCTCTCCGCTCCAGCAGCACCACCCCTTCCCCCACCCCCTCACGCTGCAGCCCCCAGAGAGCCCTCGGCTGACCCGCAGGAACCTCGAGCTCAGCAGCGTTGGCGGCGGCGGGGGCAGCAGCATGAGGGAACTCCCTCCTCTCAGCCCCTCCATGGCCCGCAGAGGGGTGCCTGTTCTCCCGGGGGCTCTCCCTGGAAGTATCCACACGTTGAGAACGCCCGAGAGCCCATCATCATTGGGGAAGCTGGGAGTCCCGGAGAGCCCCAGGCTCCGACGCAAGGCCGGCTCCCCCCCTGAGGACCAGTTTGGCGGCAGTGTGGTCCGAGCCCGCAGCCCCTCCCCCACCTTGGGGCTGATGATGATGGAGAGCGGGGGAGGGGGGAGGAAGGCCAGCATTGGGAACGCCCTCTCCCCTGCTTACAGCCTGGGCTCCCTACCTGGCTCCTCGCCTCTCGCCAGCCCCAGGGGCCATAGGAAGATGTCCGGGGGGCCCCGGGAGCTGAGGGGCCCCCACCCGGGCATGCGGGAGCGCAAAAACAGCATCTCTGAGATCAGCGACAACGAGGATGAGCTGTTGGAGTACCATCGGCGCCAGAGAGAGGAGCGGCTCAGGGAGCAGGAGATGGAGAGACTGGTAAGTGGAGTGGCCTGCTCTTAACTGGATCAACTGTTAGCTGTGAGTTAGGCTAGCTATTCACACCACCATTCATCATTGACTTACGTGATACAGAGATACAGGGTAATATCAAACTAGAAGTTTATTTGATTGGTTGAACCATATTTATCCAAGTAATACTATCAATTCAATTACCATTCATTTTGATACTGGTCCTCAAGATGGTCTAGGCCTAGGGGATAACTCAGCCGCCTGGGAAATATGCCCAAATCCAGCTCCTGACGCTGACACAAAAATCTGTCTCTGTCTCTTCTCTCTCTCCACTATCTAACCAATACAAATAAAATATGAAAGGGTGAGAATTCCCACCCTAAAAAACAAAACCGGAAGTTTGTTAGCTACTGGATGTGCGGAGCTGTAGTTCGGCTTCTAGCCTTTTTTAACCATCATATTTAGTCTATCTCCACTCAAGTGTTCCTCCACATGACCAGAAAACCATTTGTTTAACCTAAAAGGATGGGAGTGGAGAGCACAGTGAAGTCCATATTTGTGAGGAAAAGCGAGGAGTTTGGATTGTAAATCCAATCTAAACTGCCGATTTGCGGTGACTGAATGTCTAGGTTTTTCCATGGCCACCCCATTGTTTGTTGTCCCTTTTTGCACTAAAAAGTGGGAGGGAGCGGTAGGCATCTTGGATCCATCTGTGTCCCCAATGAAGCGCCTGAGACAATGTCCTTTAAAATACTTTTTATATGCGTGTGCCTCTGTGTGATAAACTCTTGTCTGCCTCCTTGTAGGTACACCATAGCAATAGAATGACTAGAATGGGAACCCCCCCCCAGACCTTGACAATATGAAGGTACAGTCATGGGTACATTCTATTTCTATGAGTAGGGTGCCCCTGCCAAAATGAGGGCAGTTCTTTTTGGGCAGAGGAGGAATGACGTGCCCTAGCCGCTCTCTGTGTACACTGGGCTACGCTCTGGTTCCCAACAGGAGCGTTACTTCCATTACACAACAGTAAAACCATCTCTGGCAATCCCAGAATGGACACAATATGTCTTTGTCTTCTCTGTCAACCCTGTGTGTTGGAGTAGGCTGCTGCCCTAAATGTAAGAGAAATGGCTCTGTTCCAATTCAACGAGAAAAGCAATTGCCAGGATTGTCGGGAAGAAGGCAATTTTTCTCATCTAGATCAAGTTAATTATAGTTCCTTTTTTTATTAAGGACAACAAGGTCACCCAACCCTTAGGCCTATCAGTTAAATTGTTTGCAATTCTCTCTGTATGGATAGTGTTTAAATTGAAAGGATGGTTATTACAGTGAACCATAACGACCTTTGGTCTTAACCTTGTGCCATTAGACTGGTAAATATTGACATAGGACAGAATGTAAATAGCAGAAGGAATCTCGGGGAATGTACATAAGCATTGCAGATAAGTAATGTAGCTTATAAAGGGGGGGGGGGGGTACTATGAAGGCGGACAGGTTGTAGAGACTTACATTTTCTTTGTCACGTGCCAGTCTGACTTTCAAAATGTAAGAGGAGGGTTTGGTGAATTACGTAATGCCTGCGTGATTAGTAACCTTGTCTGAAGCCAGAAGGTTTGCATTAGCTCCCTGAGCGAATGCCTAGGCTTTAGCTTAGTGAGCTAGCTATCACAAATATAACAAGATTAAGCCCCTGGCATATGAGCTTTGCAACTGGTATGATAGTATTTTCTATTATATGCGTTCATTGTGAACCCAGTTGTGCTCAGCTCATGCAGCACTGAATGAGGGATTTGGATCCCGTAACCATTATTACCATGAGGTATTTCTGCATCCGTTCTGCATCCAACCAAAGATTCTGTTCTGTCTGGGTCTTTAAGATCCAGCAACTAGACACAGACCGAACTGTGCAGAGCTAAGCATGGCATAAGGTCCTTGTAAGTGGAAGGCTTTAGACTCTTGCCGTGGTGAGAGATGGCGAGAGGCAGCACAGCGAGCCAAGCGTGACACAGGTCCTCAGTGTCTCTCACTGGAGCTGCCAGGGGGAGTGCGGGTGGATGGGGACGTCACCATATGACTGGCACAGTCATTTCTTTTGGAGGGGTATGGGGGAAGGGGAGGTGGGGGGCAGTGTACAGTCCAATCATCGAGGCTATATTTACCCCAAAAGAGCCACACTTTCTGTACCCAAGCGCTGTCTGTTTGTCTGCCCAGCTGTCTGTCTGTCTGCTCGCCGTCTGTCCATCTGTCTGTCAGAAGTCAGTCTCCCAGCAACATGCTGCAGGCCAAGCCAGGCCAGGGGTAACTAACTGCCCTTTGTCGCTGAGTTATTTCCGGATGAAGTCAGTCAGACCCTGGGGATCAGTGTCATGCCTGAAGCAAAGAGGTATGCTGGGTACAGCTATATCCCTACAGAGGGAGGCAACACAGGCTCTCTCTGGCATCCTGATAAACTAACAGCACTGTTTATACATAGGACTTGTTTACTTTACCAAGGATACATAATTATTTGTGTGTTCTGGAAAGACATTTGTGTGTTCTGTGGACCGAGAAAACATAAGTGTTCACCAGGGACGACATCATTCATACCATTGACCGAGTGGCGCAGTGGTCTAAGGCACTGCATCGCAGTGCTAGCTGTGCCACTAGAGATCCTGGTTCGAGTCCATGCTCTGTCGCAGCCGGCCGCGACCGGGAGACCCATGGGCGGCGCACAATTGGTCCAGCGTCGTCCAAGGTAGGGGAGGGTTTGGCCGGCAGGGATGTGGGTTCGTTTCCCACGGGGGGCCAGTATGAAAAAATACATGTATGCATTCACTAACTGTAAGTCGCTCTGGATAAGAGCATCTGCTAAATGACCAACATGTAAATGTCTGTTTACAATGTTTATACAGCACCTTTATTCTCTTTCATCCAAGTATCACGTGCCACATAAACCAGTGAAATGGTATCTTAAGATGTTATTTTTGCCAGCCAATCAGAGGTGAGCTCTATGTCATATAGGAGTCCAGGCTGTTAAGGATATTATTTCTCATGTCTAAGCTGCCTTTGAGTTGTAGTGCTACACATGGTTGCTTAGTGAAACACTGCCTTGGCAAACACACTTGGCATATGGCGTTAGTCACTGGCTTGCTGCTCTGACTGTCAGACAGATAGTGTTCTGAAAACACCAGTCTACTGAAGATGACCTCATTGTTGTAATGAGAGGTAAAGGATGATGTCGTCACATATTCCATTACCTTATAATGCTGACATGTTTCGTCATGCTCACAGCGACATTTCTAAACGTAGCTAAACAAAAATACCCTAATCTTTCAGCTGAGTGTCTCAGAATTAGCAAGGATACAATTTAAGCTATTATTGTTAGTTCTCTCTAGCTCGAGGGACATATTTGTTATCCTGAAGAATTGAATGACTTTTATATTTTGTAGTTCTTCTAGCAGTATACAACTTTATTATTATAACCACATTTCATCATTAGGCCTAGAATATGAAGCATCTATGAAGGCTTATACATGTTTGTGTGTGTGTTTGCGTGGGTGCATCCGTGTGTGTGTGTGTGTGTGTGTGTGTGTGTGGTTTAAAGCACGGTGGGTATCGAGTTTACTAGCCAGGGCAAATTATAGTGATCCCCACAGCTTGATTGAGAAAAGTGAGTGAGTGAGAGAAAGGGTGGGGGAGATACTGTCTACTTCACAGATACAGATAATCTTGGTCAGTGGCAAATCTCTCATTCAGACTCCATTTGAGGGGAAGCTATTGTAATCTAGTCTGTGTGAATAACAATAAATATGCTCTGTGTCTATTTTAGGTTCTCTGTGTCAGTTCTACCGCCCCATTGTCACGATTTGCCAAATACGACACGCTACCATGCTGTTTCAAAGCAGTCATTGGTTGGTTGCTTAAGACGGCATGTGAGGTGAACAAAGATATGTTTGGCTATCTGCATTCAGAGAACATTCAGTGAGGGGGAGGTCATAGGGCTGTTTCAATTATCGTATAATTGTGTAACCGACAATTATGGACATTTTGTTTTCGTCAGAACCGTCTTAATACATTCATTTTAGATGAAGGGGGATTAAACTTTATATTCAAGTAGATAAAGTTTACCCAATAGCAGTTTTTCATTTTTACACGAATTGGGTAAATCATTTTATGAGCAGATCGGCACGGTCGGGAGGAGAAGCTTCATTTCCAAAAGTTGCAAGCGGTCAAAAACATTTGTTTTTGAGACGGGTGTCACCAAAGCTTTGTTGTATTCATTAAGTATCTCGTAGTGAGTTTTCAAAAAATGTATGCACGCATGACTAAGTCGCTTTGGTTAAAAGCGTCTGCTAAATGGCATATTATTATTATTATTATTATTATGCACTATGATGCATTACAAGCTCAAAACATTTGTTTTTATACAAATGTAAATTATGACAATAACCGCAGCCATTTTCATGACAATTAATCGTTACCCCAAATCCCATAAACATTACAGCCCTAGGAGAGGACACCTCTGTCTGAAAAGGGATAGTTCAGACATTATTGTCTTGACAAAAAAAACGTTGTCTAAAAAAGTATAGTCTTTCCACTAGAGGGGGTATCCTCACCTTACTGTATTTTAGTAGAGCTCCTGCGCTATGGTCTCCCAAGGGACTGCAGAAACAAGTCTCAAGACTAGAGCATTGTAAACAAATAGGCCCCCAATAGCCTACTTCATTAAAAACCACAACTTGTTTTTCTGATCTGTTGATTTGGCTGTAGGATTCTTTTAGATTTGATCAATTCTATTAGGATATTAATATTAATCAGTAACTGAGGCATGGTTATGTAAGCCACATCCCATTTGAGGAAGTCAGCCCCATGTAGTGAGCTCTGACCCCTCCCCATAGTGTCTAAGCCCCTCCCCCTGGGCCGGAGGACAGAGGAAGGATCTCCATCCGAGCTCTGTTCAAATGTGAGGAGGTGAATCACAACTGAACAAGCCAGCACTGAGAACAGAACCTAGCAATAGAACCACTGTGCAGCCACAGCTTACTGCACATACTACACTGATCTAGGACCAGTAATGGAGCGACGTAAAGTCCTCAGTGGAAGCGGATCGGAAGCACACAGAGTGGGACAGAGCAGGGACCAAGCCATGCTGTACTTACTCTCTCTGGCTCAGGAGGACCCAGCTTTCCTCACCAATGTGGCTGCACTCATGAAGGTAACAGGGGACAACTCTAATATTAACACGTGTGGAACAGTTGCTGCTGTCTCTATCTATATTTAAATGTGCTTTGGTATGTGTCTGTGTGTTTGGATGGTGTTAAAGGCTTGTGTAGGTTTGTCATTGTTTCAATGGTTATAACTGCATTAGCAAGAGAGAGCGAGACAGACAAGTTTAAACTGTTAATGCAATTATTGTTTGTTGTTCCAGAATGGATGTGGAACTGGGAGGAAAGTATGGGTGTGTGTGTGTGTGTGTGTGCGTACGTGCGTGTCTGCTTGAGTTGGTGTGTGCATTCCTACATGCGTGCCTGCATGTGCTGAAGTTTGTGTGTGTGCGTTTTGAGGTCATAGGCTGTGCATTTCCTGAGCCATTCACGATGGTGGCTTTTAGATTAAACATTGGCTTTTTACGGTTTCAAACAGTTTTTAGACTTTTGAGATTTGGCTGGTTAGTGCATGTGAAATATGCTTAATGTGGTCATGTGCAACATGCACACGTGTATTTGTATAATATTAGTAGAAGAAAAGTTTTACATTAGGCCTGTTCTCCAAGTCTTTACTGTTGAATTAACAATGGTTGTGCTAAAATGACCTTACTTGAATTGAATGATTCAATTCCCACAGAGAAACATACCATGACTCTTACGCTTCCTTTCAAAGTGCATCCTATTCACACAATGTCAAACGCCCTCAGCTTCAAGACCTCTGCATCTGTCGCTGAGAGATTGTCTTGACTCTAGAGTCATGTTCACTAGGAACCAAACGGACATAAACAGGCAGGGATAACCTAGACTTACCCAATAAGACAGGCTCATTTTCTATTGTAAGGAAACCAATATGTTATTTGAGTGAACTATCCCTTTAAGGAACACAACCCAGGCCACAGTGAACTCCAACCTGAGGGTGTAACTGCTTGGAGGTCAGGGGTCATTCATCTTCTGCTGTGAGGTCTGAGTTTAGCTAGTCGACATCCTGCCGTGCCAGTGTGTTCTGTCTTCTCAGGGAGAGAGGGAGGGAAAGAGGGAGAGAGAGACGTATGTTCATTCAACCTCACCTGGCCAAACAGTGTCTTATGGAAATCATAGAAAACATGTTGCAGTATCATAAAAGCTGTACTAGTTGAATAGTGGTGTAGACTTGGTGCTTCCATGGACTCATGTAGTGCATTGTTTTGCATTTAGATGTTGTGGAGTGGATGTTTGGGAACAACATAATGTATATGCTTCCCTATAGAACTAGCCTATAGGCTAGCACATATCTAGTTGTAAAGCTTACACAGTACCCAGAAAGGGTTTGGAAAGGTTTGTCAAGCTAGTTAGCTTCTAAAATGGCACCCTATTTTACCTGGTCAATAGTAGTGTACTACAGTATATAGGGTACCATTTGGGACACAGACACCAGCACAGGATGCTGCTGGAGGGCTAGTCTTCCATGTGGCTGTTTGAAGCTGCCGCTCCAGTTAGCGCGAGCTAGCGACTAGCGTCATAGAAACCACCGTGTTTTTCATCAGCCTCCCTGGAACTGTGCATGATACAGGGAAAAAATAAGAAAGAGGTCAATGTGGTTGTTTTCCCAGTGTTCACTGCACTAAGGAGAGTGTGAGGTTATTTTATCCCTTGGGTTATGAGTTGTGAAGAATGCCATTGTATCAGTGAGGCTCTCTGAATTTGTTCTTGGTAACTCGGCGGGTGTCCTTGTTGCGTGTCTACAGTGCAACATTTAAGCAATACCAAAACATGTTCCAATTCCAACCCCTGATGAGAGGCCTACAGTATGGGCATTCCCCACAGGGGAATGAATCACTGATTCCTTCTGGTTGTTGAGCAGACGTCAGAAAAATACAACAGAATTTGGTTGTTTTCTGGTCAGTATATACACTGAGTGTACAAAACATTAAGAACACCTGCTCTTTCCATGACAGACTGACCAGGTGAAAGATATGATCCCTTATTGATGTCATTTGTTAACTCCACTTCAATCGGTGCCTTGCAAAAGTATTCATCCCCCTTGGCGTTTTTCCTATTTTGTTGCATTACAACCTGTAATTTAAATGGATTTTTATTTGGATTTCATGTAATGGACATACACAAAATCTAAGTGTCACATGATCTGTCACATAATCTCAGTATATATATAGACCTGTTCTGAACGGCCCCAGAGTCTGCAGCAAGGGGTACCACCAAGCAAGCGGCACCATGAAGACCAAGGAGCTCTCCAAACAGGTCAGGGACAAAGTTGTGGAGAAGTACGGATCAGGGTTGGGTTATAAAAAATATATCCAAAACTTTTAACATCCCACAGAGCATTATTAAAAAATGGAAAGAATATGGCACCACAACAAACCTGCCAAGAGAGGGCCGCCCACCAAAACTCACGGACCAGGCAAGGAGGGTATTAATCAGAGAGACAACAAAGAGACCAAAGATAACCTTGAAGGAGCTGCAAAGCTCCACAGCGGAGATTGGAGTATCTGTCCATAGGACGACGTTAAGCCGTACACTCCACAGAGCTGGGCTTTACGGAAGAGTGGCCAGAAAAAAAGCCATTGCTTTAAGAAAAAAATAAGCAAACACGTTTGGTGTTCGCCAAAAGCCATGTGGGAGACTCCCCAAACATATGGAAGAAGGTACTCTGGTCAGATGAGACTAAAATTGAGCTTTTTGGCCATCAAGGAAAAGCTATGTCTGGCACAAACCCAACCCCTCTCATTACCCCGAGAACACCATCCCCACAGTGAAGCGTGGTGGCAGTATCATGCTGTGGGGATGTTTTTCATCGGCAGGGACTGGGAAACTGGTCAGAATTGAAGGAAAGATGGATGGCACTAAATAAAGGGAAATTCTTGAGGGAAACCTGTTTCAGTCTTCCAGAGATTCGAGACTGGGACAGAGGTTCACCTTCCAGCAGGACAATGACCCTAAGCATACTGCTAAAGCAACACTCGAGTGGTTTAAGGGGAAACATTTAAATGTCTTGGAATGGCCTAGTCAAAACCCAGACCTCAATCCAATTGAGAATCTGTGGTATGACTTAAAGATTGCTGTACATCAGCGGAACCCATCCAACTTGAAGGAGCTGGAGCAGTTTTTGCCTTGAAGAATGGGCAAAAATCCCAGTGGCTAGATGTGTCAAGCTTATAGAGACATACCCCAAGAAACTTGCAGCTGTAATTGCTGCAAAAGTTGGCTCTACAAAGTATTGACTTTGGGGGGGGGGGTTTTCTGTTTTTTTGTCTTATAAGGTGGGTGAATACTTTCGCAAGCCACTGTAGATGAAGGGGAGGAGACAGGTTAAAGAAGGATTTTTAAGCCTCGACAATAGACATGGATTGTGTATGTGTGCCATTCCGAGGGTGAATGGGCAAGACAAAAGAATGAAGTGCCTTTGAACGGGGTATGGTAGTAGGTGTCAGGCACACCGGTTTGAGTCAAGAACTGTAACGCTGCTGGGTTTTTCACGCTCAACAGTTTCCCGTGTGTATCAAGAATGGTCCACCATCCAAAGGACGTCCAGCCAACTTGACACAACTGTGGGAAGTATTGGAGTCAACATGGGCCAGCATCCCTGTGGAATGCTTTCGACACCTTGTAGAGTCCATGCACTGAGAAATTGAGGCTGTTCTGAGGGCAAAAGGGGGGAGTGCAACTCAATAATAGGAAGGTGTTCTTAATGTTTTGTACACTCTGTGTAATTTCACCATGCCATCAGAAAAGACGTCATAATGACGTCATTGTAACCAGTTTTGCTCACTGGGAGAAGGATGCAGAAATGCATAACAAGGAGGACAGGAGAGAGAAAGAGGAACAGAAGAAAAGAGGAAGAAGAGAGAGACTGACACAATCACTGATTCACATTGGAAAGAAGGCAAGAGATGACGAAGAGATGCTTGGATTCAAAGAATAGGCCTGGTCGTTAAATGTTAAGGAGAGTGGCACTGTGGGAAAGATACTGACTTACTCAAAGAAAGAGGATGTTGGGAGAGTGAGGGATAGATAGTCAGAGTCCCGGTGCTCGGGGAATACCTGGAAATAGCTGGCTAGAAATGAGTGTGTCGGAATGTCCCGAGGAGCATCAATCACTTTCTGTAAGACACCGAATCCATGCCATTTATCCTCACTCCAGACTCTTTACCAAATCTCTCATATGCCAAGCAATTACCATAACATTTTTACTGGAATGTTATCCCCTTTGACTTTCTTAACTGTACACTTAATTTACTAATTTAATCACTGACACTCGGTTAGCTTAACAGGCTAAGTACATTCTGCTAATATGATAAGGAAAGCTAATGATGCTTAGGGAGCTCGCTACGAGTTTGTGTTGTGCTATCAGATTTAGTCTGTTAATGAATTGTAAATGGCGGTGGGAGGAAGAATGACTCAGTAAACAGTGCAGAACAACATGAAATGACCAGGAATGAGTCATGGCTAATTGGAACGTGGGTGGGTTAGTTGGTGGAATAACTGCAATCTCTAAAATTGCAACCAGTTTGACTATAGAGAAGTACTGTCAACCCAGACCTTGGCTTTTCTGGGTCTGTGGGTTCAAATCCCAGGTTGGCCATAACAGGGATAGACCTTGTTGTACAGTATTTTACTTCTCATGAAGTATTTTCCTATGGAGCAGACAGACTCCGCAGTGTAGCTGTACGGCTGGATGTGGTTTAGACTTGTGACTGAGCTTATCCCTTGAGTCACGCTTTAGCAGATAAGGAAAGAGGCCCATATGGAATAAGTCTCTAGCTGTTCCTCCTATAAGCAAGCTGGATCTGCTACTACCGCAACGCTACCTCAACGCTGGAGCAACATCAAATTCAACTCTTCCATCTAGGTAGGAATATGAGTCAGAGGCTTGTTGTTTATTGAGGGCACTAAAGGTCTTTCATTGTCAGCCCTACACCTCCCTGTGTACACAGGTCTAGAGACAGGGTAGGGGTTTGGGGGTGGGACTCTGTAGAAGGGCTGTGTTTGTTCACCTGTCTCAGGGAGGGAGACT